TTAATGTAAATGAGTGCCGTCAAATCGATTAATCGTGATTAATCACATCTATCTTAAAATGGTTGTTGTGCCCACATATAGGCCTAAGTAATTATATATATATATATATATATACGCACACACAAATAAAAACAAAAACATTTATGTTAGATGTGGTTAATCGTGATTAATCGATTTGACAGCACTGATCTAAATTATTGTTAAATTCAACATTTACTAATTATTAAAATCAAATGTTGTATTTGTTCACATTAGTTAATGCACTGTGACCTAAAATGAACATATGAACGACTGTATTTTTTTTATAAAAATTCATAAAAACTGTAACAAATGTTTTAACATTATTAGTTCATGCTAGTTAATACATTAACTAATTAAACTTTATCGGTAAACTGTTACCATAATAATTGAACAAAAAACCTGCAACAGATTCAGAACTCATTCCTAAAATATTGTGTAAATATAATTACGTTTTTCGGTCTAAAAATAAACGCTTTGTGGTCATTCTAAAACAAGTGTGCAGTGAAGTATGTCGATTTAGCTTCCATTAATTTCAAACATCTGAATGCATCATTATCAAGGAAAAGCTTTTAAGCATCAATGACCTGCAGCGTATAACATGGATTCTGAAGGAGGTCAGTAACAGGATTCTGCTCTTGTCGACAAATATGGGTCGGTGGCTTGATGAATTTGCTACTTGACTAAGCTCTAAGCAAAATATTGACCCAAAAGGTTTCCATATTTGGCCACTTGCCATTTTAAACAATCCCATTTAAACACGAACAGCTCATCATCTACAACATACAATGTTTCCGAGCAATCACACCTTACAATGTAAAAAGCGTGCGTTTTTAAAGATAATTATAACGGAGGGTTTCCATTTGTGCCACGGACGCTTCTGATATGTAAATGAGTTTGGGGGGGATCTCTCCCATTTTAGTCGCGTCACCTCATCCCACTCATGCATTTCTGGTGTTCCGCTGACAGAAGCTCAACTCACTGTTTCACACTTGACTCCAGAGATCCGCCCTCGATCGTCAAGGCCTTTTTGGGACGCTTTTCTGCAGGTCCAACACTCACCTGCGACCTTAAATGGACCAGACTAATGGATTGGTTGGGTCAAGCACTGCATAGCATCCGGGAGCATCTGTGATCTGAGCCTGGATCCGTGTGCACGCGCGCTGTCCAATCCCACGGATCTGCATTTACAACTCACCAGAACGCTTTTTTGGATAGACTTCACTGTCACTGTATATTGGATTGGAAAATGTCCCTAAGGAATTGCAAGGCAGGGTTCTCTGTCCGTGATATTTTAGACCTCCCGGACACGAGCGACGAAGGATCAGTGACTGAAGACACTGAAGATGAGGCTGATGAAGGACTCTCTGGAAAGCAGCAGCACGCGTCCTCCACTGATGCGCTTTGGCTCGGATCTCCATGTGGCCACACATATCCAAGTACGTGTATGCAGTTTAATTACTTAGATAAATACTTCAAGCTGCTGGTGTCCTGTTCCGTATTTATTCGAATTAAATAAAACAATAAAAAATTGCAACAAAAAAACGTCGGAATTTAATAGAAATGGTCATGGTTTTACGCAATTTCGCGCTTAGAAAAATAAAGGTTCCTTAATGGCATCGATGGTGATGGACATTTTCATGCACAAAGGTTCTTTATAGTGGGAAAGGTTATTCAGGTTATTTAAATATAAAAAAAATGGTTATTTAAGAACTGGTTACTGAAATGTTATTGCATCGCTACTAACCCCCTTTTGAAACCTTCATTTTTAAGTATAGCCTATAGTGCATGATGGTCTATTATCAAATTTGGTTATTTATTTTATCTAATTCGATGAGGTTATTAATTATAATTATATTCAGCAGTGCCATCGGCATCTCCAGAGGACTTGAATCCAGAACTGTCCACGGATGAGTCTGTGGATCGGGATAGGGAGAGTTCGGAGGACTCGGGGAAAAAGCGCAAACGGAGAATCCTCTTTTCAAAGACGCAAACGTTTGAGTTGGAGAGACGCTTCAGGCAACAGAGATACTTATCCGCCCCTGAGAGAGAACATCTCGCTAAGCTCTTACATTTGACTCCGACGCAAGTGAAGATTTGGTTCCAGAACCACCGGTATAAAGTGAAGAGAGCCCGGGCTGAGAAAGGCATGGACCCGTATCTGCTCTCTCCTCCACGGCGCGTTTCTTTCCCAGTCCTGGTGAGGGACGGAAGAGCGTGTCATCTTCTCAGTCCTCAGGACATCACTACAGCGGCACCCTATTCTGCTTTTAATATCAAGCAGTTCCCCCAGATTCATCACAGTCATAACATCTGCATGACACATCTGACACCTGTCAATCATCTGGGTCACATGCAGCCCTGGTCCTGGTGAAGACAGCTTTTACGCGGCGGAACTTTCAACATATAAAGTTGTTTTCGTCACATGTTGCATCATTAATTATATTTCTACAATGTGGAAATATATTTTTAAATGAGTTTTAATGTTCTAATGTTTTCTCCCCGTTGGGTTGTTTTATATTCGATGAAACAGAAATAGCACAATGGGACTTCGTCATCATCATCACCATCTCGTACTGTTTGTAGATATATTTATGCTGGAAATTTTACATTGTGTTGATCAGTAAATGTCATTTATTCAACAATCAAATATGTTACTTTTCGTTAAATTTAGAAAGAGCACAATAAGTAGCCAACTGACAATTTAATAACGTTAAAAAAATTAATTGGGAATAGTTCATCTCGAGAATTTTTTCCCTGTTTTCTATTTTGTTTTTATACTGAAATTATTCTGACTAACCTGTAATAAACTTAATAAACATTTTTTCTTCTAAACAAAAGCGATATTATTGTTTTTTTTTTCTTTTTCTTTTTTTCTTCTTCTTCATTTTAGGCTATATATAGACGTGTGTGTGTGTCCTGGTAAATAAATCCTACATTATGGGGACAAAATGTTCTCACAAAAATGGCAATATCCAAAATCCGTGTGGGGACATTTTTGGACCTGAGGGAAACAAACTTTTGTTATAAATTATAATTTTTTTTTAATGTAATTATTTTTTTAATGTAAAAATGTAGCAAGTTGTCTGTGGGGTAGAGTTAGTGTTAAGGGGAGAGAATATACAGTATAATTCATTCATAAATCATTATGTCAATGAAAAGTCCCCATAAAGTGTGTGTGTGTGTAATAGTTATACAAATACATAGGCTAGATTAAATGTGCAGGTTGTTGTATTTCAAAAATATTTTTGAAAGTTATGAATGTTCAGAAATTCAAAAATGTGCCGTAGTTAATCATTCATAGCAAAATGAACTGAAATGAACTTTTTGACTAAGGTATGCCTATGGCCCCCAGAACTGATTTCCAAGGGCATTGTTCTAACCACATAAACAAATAAATACTTATTTATTTGTAGTTGTTTCGAATGTTTTCGAATGTTTTCTGCACACTGTTTTCGAGCCGCTTCACAAACATTAAACCATACAGGCCTAAGTTGTATTTGTAGCCTAAATACAATTATAATGTATTAATAACTTTCGGTGATGGTGTGAAATCAGGTAATTGGTTTTATTTTGCCATGTAGCAACAAAAAAAATTATAACGAAAGAAATTGAGGTCACTACGACGAAGTCACTATTTTACGAAAATGATCTACGCTACACTAAGCTGGTAAATCTGCTTAATTCGAGGTGCACACGCGGAGTATTTTCTTCAATGACCACTTGGTGGCAGCAGTGTATTATTATAACGATTTAAAATGAAGAACACTGGGTTACTCGAGCATCTACAGCAGGGGTGTCCAATCCTGGAGGGCCACTGTCCTGCAGAGATCAGCTCCATCCCCAATTAAACACACCTAGACCACAGCTAATCAAGCTCTTACTAGGCAATAGGCATACTTACTAGGAGCTGAACTGTGAGAACAGCTGCCCTCCAGCAGAGTTTGGACACCCTTGATCTACAGATACTGAGGACGCATTAAAAAAAATACAGGATCAATAGCTCTTAGATTTCAACTCAATTAGTTTTGTCCATACTAACAGAAATGTAAACAACCCTTTCTCACATACACTTATTTTTGTATCTTTACAATGCATTCGATCATGCTAATAAGTCCACATGCTCAACTGTAATCGTGCAGTGGACTCTCCAGAGACACATCTTACTCAAGATCAAAGATCCCCTTCTGCACTACATTTCCAACTGGACAGGTCTATTAAAAAAAAAACAAGAATCAATTTGATGGCAGTCTTTAGCTGGAGTGTAATCTTACATCTTAGTTGAAGGAATGTCAAGCTGAATTCAAGGATGGCCTTGATGGTCTATGGTAAAGTTCTATATATAGCCTAGGCTATATATTTTTTAATTAAAACTTCAAGGACTTCAGGTTCCGATTTTTAAAGTGACATCCCAGAAAACTGACCTTGTCTCAGCTGAGATCTTCACGAAGACGCCAAGTCCTACAAAGATCATAGACAAATGAGCTCAAGGTTTTGGAATTATGGGAAGGATTTGACGTCACAGTGACGCGCGAACGTCGCAAAACTTGTGACAAATACAAAACACAACAGCTCTCTGGTGTAACTTATGTAGAGAGATGTGATGTCGGTTGATATGCCATAATTAACCCAACTGATACAGTATTTTACAGTTCTAAAACAACAACAAATCTATTCGTTCTCTGTTTCTAAAGGAGGTTGTCACCAAGCGCTCTGCTTATTGGACTCAGTTTGTTAGTGACCTTGATTGGGAAAGTGTTTGGTTATTACCTCATAGGTTTTTTTTTTTTTTTTACAATCAAGGTAAAATAAACTTCTTTCAAGATAATACACAAATTCTACCCTGTCAAACATTTCCTTAGAAAGACACTGCTCTTTTTGCTCATTCACATGGAAACACTACCACAACATTGTTGTCATGTGAAAGATTATGGTATGATGTGTCTATGTTTATTAATGAAAAGGTAGGCTACTATTTAAAGTATCATAACAGTGTGAATAAGGACACTTTTGTAATCAATCTGGTAATTGTATTAGTCACATTTCACATTCATAAGTTTTTTTCTAACAGAAAAACCCTTTTCTCAGAAGTCCTTAAAGAATTTGAAAATTCATTTTCTAGCACGGCCTAATAGAGAAGCTATTAAAACTGTTCATCTGTGTTTTATCTTCAACTAAGAACTTGTATCTCTGTGAATGTGTGTGTGTGTGTGTGTGTGTTTTCTATTGCTGTTATTCTTACAGTTTTTCTGAATTGCTAAAACACTAAACCCCATTCTCTGAACCAAATTCTCAATAGCCTGAACCAATTTGTCGAATAAATCCCTCTTTCTGTAAAACATTAAACAAGTTCAGGTAGTTAAAACACTGTTTGCAAATCTCATGCACTCTTTTTGCAAAACTCTAAACACAGTCTCACTCACTGAAACACATTTCACACTGTAATGCACTTGTGTTTCACAACACTAAACACAGGCAGGCAAAAGTTAAACACAACTGCACACTTGTCATCTTTTACACACAACGACTCAAAATTGTTCACACTTATTTCTAATGATGTGATCAAACCAACTCTACAAGAAGTCAGTTCAGAGCCAAAACTGACTCAAAATGTTGCACTGAATGTTGATACCAACAATGGATGGAAACAATATAAGAGAGAGGAGGAAGAGTGTGTGTAAGAGGAGGTGAACAAGGAGGCAGAGCAGGTGTGTATAGTGTTGTCAAGGCTGGATCTGCTTGAGTGTTTTCCCCTTCGCCTGCAGAGACGACAGAGTCTGAGATGTGGACAAAGTCCTCAAACATGAAGACGTGAAGCTGAAGCAGAACACATGTCCAATCTCTCTCACTGACCGTGATTCTGCAGAGCACAACTCTTCTGAGCGACTGTAACATGCTTTTCATTTACAGTGTTTTACTGTAACCTTTTTGGCTTTAGCAGTTGGTCACTGTAATTTCACAGTATGCAAGAGTTGAATACATTCAATACTATACAATATTCAGTACAATACTACACTTGCAGTGCATACAGTATACAATTTATTCACCTTACTACTGTAAGTTGTCAGTACTATACCTTTTTACGTAATTGCAAAATTAGTTTACTTTGTTACAATATACTTTTTTCCTGTAACTGCATGCTTTGGATTCTGTGTTCTCCATTTAATGAATGATCTGTAGTGTTTATAATATCGGCTCGCTGTGTGTATGATCTGAGAGCAGTGTTTGATTTTGCCAGAAGAGTCAGAGGTTCTCTGAATGTGGTTTGAAAATTTGGTTTTGTGTTTAAGGTTTTGAGAAAGTGAGTGATATAGCTATGTTCTAATTTTGTTGTACCATACTGTAAACTGAATGTTCAAATAAAGCATTTTTAATACATTTTTTGTGTATAACTTTTATTTTGTTTGCTTTTTTTATATTTAATTGCAACTATTCTCAATTTGTTGTAAGATGTGTGTTAATTATGTATACAATTTATCTATTGTAGGAGTTTTTATGTAATCCCTTGGCAATGTTCTTTATGTAGCCTAATTGTTATTCAAGCATTAATAAATACATATTTTTAGGTGAACCACTTATTCATTTCCTGTCCAAAATAGATACACCTTAGGTAAAACAATAAATAAATAAAAGCATTTACATTCTTTGAAAGTAAATGGAATAGTGAGGATTATTAGGCATTCTGTTTTCTTTGGCCTGGAGGTGGCGACATTCCAGACCAGTAGATCATTATTCTCAGTGATCCAAAGAAAACAAGACTCTCTTTTATCTTAAAAGTTGCTCACAGGGTGCAATAGGCTATTGTGAGGGTATAGATTTTATATTCTGTCTCTACTTCGCTTCTGACATTAAACTCAGATCTCACATGAGATATGTTTTTGGCTGGAGCCTCTTCTGAGTCGTGTTTTTTTGAGTGATTTCAGTGGGAGAGATGTTGTTATTCTGCTGATCCAGAACGTCTTTCTGTGCTTCGCTGAACCTGAACGTCTCCACGTAAAGTCAGATGTCATTTAGTTGTGTGTGGACGCACCTGAGTGCTTTAAGCTTTCTCGAGGGTTCTTCTGTAGACAATCTTCACAAAACATCTGCTTACCTCAGCAAATATTACAAAGGAAGCAAATGTCACTTCATCCTGACATCCGTAATTGCTGTAGTGTTGATATGGATGCATAAATAAGCCTGATCACGTGCTCATTGTAGCCGCTTTCGACAGTGGACGGGTCATAGATCTCTGATTGGTCTCCATACGCAGCAGATGCACTGTGTGTTGTGACACATTCCTCCCATAACCATCAGTTAAATAGTGTGACTTGTGCCACATAGACCTTCTGTTGGCTCAGATCGGACGGGATAGCCTTCATTGCCCTCATGCTTCAATAAGCCCTGGGCGTCCAACACCCTGTCGCCGGTTTGTGTTTTGTTCCTCCTCGGACACTGTTGTTAATTCTCATCACTGCTGACCGAGAGCGACACACAAGCCTC